CCCCCCCCCCCCCCCCCCCCCCCCCCCCCCCCCCCCCCCCCCCCCCCCCCCCGCGGCGGTGTTAGCGTATAAACAACGAAATAGAAGGAGAAAAAGCAGCTCTTGATACATATAAAGGCTACGGTCTAGCTAACGTGCGTTATACAAACTCTGCTTCTTTTCTCTATTCCGCTACCTTATATACCTAGCATTTTTGCGGTTGAATGTACAGTCGTTCGGACAATTGATGTCGGCCGAGCTGCGGCTAAGACACACGTTTTCCGCGAAGGTGGAGCAGGGGTTATAGCGAGACTGTCAAGTTCCCCGGCAGCTTGGCATGGGCCATCGGTTTCTCAGTCCTCCTTATCATGAATACCTCATACTATTTGCGTGAGCTACTAGTATCCAGTGTATTTCACGTCCTATAATTAAGTGTCACACTTCCTTAAGTGGAGTGGAGTCAAAGCATGACTGGGCTAAGGTCCGAAGCTCCCATACATATTGAGCGACGCCGCTCAATTGTAAGATAGAAGCCTAACTAGCTGAAGTACTCAGTCCTATCTTAACTTAATCCCTTTCTCTTGCTCAATTCAGTGCCACTGGCTTCTTCCACAACCTCTTGGCCACTAGCATGACGGGTTGACTTGGTCGTCTGCGTTGACTTAGTCATGCCACTTTCCTTATGGAAATGAGAATAAGAAAACCGCAGGGGTTACGAACTGTCAGATTAGTCGAGCTAGTTACTTGAAAGTGAATATCATTAACTTTCCCTTAGGACTCCTAATCCTTGAACTTCTTTTTTTTTTTCGTTTTTCCATTTTTTACTTTATATATAGCGCATTCTTCTACTATAGCTTATATACAGTTCCACTCTCCTTTTGATAAAAGCTACATAGTAACTTATCTAAGTTTGTCTTAGCTCTCCACGGTCTCTCTGGTAATTAAGCACCGCCTCACTCTAGAAGACTGCCAGCAATTTTTACACCAGTTCAGCTCGTCTATTAATGGATACCATGCAGATTCCATAAGATGACGATTGGCTCGCGTAGATCTTGACCGAGGAAATGATTGGGTGCTTTGAATCCTAAAGCGGGGTATTTTCTCTGCTAAGCCTTTGCTCGAAAGCTTCCAGCCCATTCCTGTATTCTTTCTCTCGCGATGCTGACTTCGGTCGTTCTTCTCACCATTCTTATCCCCGAAATCCTATGAATTGACGGTGTAATCATTCACCGCACCGAGAACATGGAGGCCCTAGCGACTTTGTCGCTTGTTTGCAATGTGTTCCAGGTCATTTCCTTCACTGGCGAGGTCTTTCGACTAGTCCGCAGCTTGCAGAATGATGGTGAACATAACTCAAAATACTGATGTCAGGTACCTATGTCGGCTATAGCTAACGAAAACAATGCAGGCAGTCCCGACCCAGGCCTCGCATCGAGTACCAAGCATTTGAGCCAAATGGTTTCTACGCTAACTAATAACCTCCATGAATTCAACGCGTTCCAATCACCTGACAAAACGCCTTCACAGCAACAAGAAGCCGAGGAGAGGCTGAAGGCACTCACAATGATGTTGCTACAAGACACGGAGAAACTCAAAACAATACTCAAGAAGTTAGCGAGTACAACTTCTCAAGGGAAACCGAATGCTCCCTCCAAGAAGATAGGAAACATAATTTCCAAAAGACTATCTAATGTATTTTCAGAAGGAAAGACCTTCTCAGTACTTCTGAAGTACAAACTTCGCTACGAATCCGAAATCACTAGCTTAGAGATGAGTATTGACAGAGTTCAGACTACCTTGAACACAGAATTTCTGTTAAGATTATGGTAAAAGAATATGCCCCTGGGTGATTGATGGGCCTGGCCACGATGCTAACAAGGAATCTAGTGACTCGCGTGTAGCAGAGAAGGCTCGATCAGAGAAGGCTTTTGCGGGTAAGTACCTGCTTTAAATCTCCATTAGTAACCTTAGACTTTCTATTAATCCCACTATTTGAAAGACCTTGACCAAAACCTTCAGAAATTCATTCGGCTCTGGTCTGAGGGGTGCAGGGACATGTCAATGCTCATAACGACGGAGGCAGAAAACACGAGGATGAACTTTAAAGCTGAGGCCTCTATGTTGAGAAACCAGATCGACACAATAGCACAAGCCAGCGATGCACATGCGGACGCTCGACACCATGCAACAAGGAACCACGTCACTTCAGAATTGCTGAAGAGTAAAAAGCAGGAAGACCGGGCGGAGTTGACAGCCCGCATTCTCTCTACCCTCCGGTTTCCCCTAATGAACGCACGTGAGAACAATATCAAGCTAGTTTCAGAAGACACAACTAGGTGGATCTTTGATCAAAAGAGCTTAGATTCGAAAGCTGTGGGCGCAAATTTCCAGTTCTCCCAATGGCTCGAAGCAGAAGATCATGTCTTTTGGATATCAGGGAAACCTGGAAGTGGGAAATCTTCGTTGATGAAATTCCTAGTCCTGGATGCACGTACGAAAGACCATCTGAGTAAGTGGAGGCCCGATGTGACAATATGCCGATATTTTTTCATAGAGACTGGTGCAGACCTCCTGCAACGGGAGTTTCGAGGCTGTTTACGAGCACTGTTGTACCAAATCCTGGAATCCAAACCTCATATCCTTGATCCTCTCTTACAGGAAAACTCGGAGTTAGCAAGAAAGCGCTCAGAGCATGACTGGTCAGTAGATGACCTCCGCAAGACTTTTCTGACAGCTTTACGTCTCGCAAACTCCCCGATATGTATCTTCCTCGACGGCCTTGACGAGATTGCAGTGAGATCAGACGACCGCCGTTCTATAATAGAGTTGGTTAAAGACCTAAGCGATCTTGATGACGTGAAGATTTGCGTGTCCAGTCGACCAGAAAATATCTTCATAGCCGGGCTTGGATCATATCCAGTTTTAAGAACACAGGATATGAACGAATCGGCTATAGCACTATACATCCAGAAGCATTTGACCCAATACCAACCGTCTTCACCTACCGGCCTTATTAAGTACGAGAGGTTGAGTAGGATTTTGGTGGAGAAGGCGTCCGGAGTATTTCTCTGGGTGTATTTGGCGATTCGAAGTATTATCAATGGTATAGAAAATGGAGACACGTGGCACATCCTCTTCCAACGAGTCGAGGGACTGGAACCCAACCTACATGCCGTTTTTGAACAGATGTTGAAAAGGCAAAACGCCGATGCCCCCTTTTATAGGAAAGATACGGCTATATTACTATGGCACTCTCTATATGCAGCTACTATGCCCATTGGGATACCAAATTCTCTGCTTGCGCATATCCTCGCTACCCATGAAGAACTTCGTTGCGACCTACTGCGTTCTGTTGCCGATGAGCAACGATCTACTGCAGAGAAACGGGTGTTCGATGAATATCGAAAGTGGCTGTTTGCAAGAAGCGCAGGCTTGCTTGAGATAAATGAATATCCTTATGGCCCTAGCCGAGAGCTAGCAGATTCATTATTAGTTCATTACATCGTTAGGCCTATCCATCGTTCTGTGCAGGAGTTCCTCCTTGCCACCACAGAGGGGCATGATATCCTTCTATTTAATCATACCTCAAGCGAAGAAAGATTACTACGAATAACCGGAGCTATGAAAGACATCTGCTATTATCTCGCAGGTAACCGTTCGCTCTTTGAGGATTGCGCGGAACTCCTCTATCATCTGGTTCGGGCCGGTTATTTGACACCACAAGAAGAAACTGAAGAGCTTCTAGACTTTAGAAGTCGATTGCAATCACGAGCTCCAGAAGAATTCCCTGATTCTTTCTTTATAAAAGAAGCGGCCAGGAGACACAATGCTGGGTTCCTATGCAAAGTACCCGGGACTCTTGACAAGTTATCCCCTGAGGACAAATCCCTCATTCTATCCCAGGCGTGCCAGTTCAAGATCACGATTGGTGTAGAATTTACCGATCTCATAACCCTAAATAATCGGGAAGCGGAGAGAAAAACGCTTGAAGATGACTCGGATGAACGAATGGCGAAGCGGCTGAGTGATATTATCAGTTTACTTCTGAGTCATAGTGCGAACCTAAACGAAAGGCTCACGCCACACGATCTAAACTTTTTAACAATTTCGAGAACCCCGTTCCATGACTTTCTAGTTGCCGCTATTGACAGTGTAGCTAGTCAAATGTGGCGTGGAACGATATACTATCCTATATCAGCCCGCTGTTTCCCAGATTTCACAAAGTTCGAGATCGATTGGAACCTCCCGTTCTATTTTTGTCCCCTTTTGTATGGCATTGGCAGGCAGCATAGGATATTTCGATTCGAATATCTCAGACCATATAACACGTTCCCTGAGGGTTGGGATTGCATCTTTCAAACATCTTCGAAGTGGTTGTATGGCTTCCTCGCCAGAATCAATCCATCCATTACGCGAGAACAAAGGGAGATTGATTTTACGAATGAGCTAGCCAGTGCCGATTTCAGTGTTCGATGTGTTGCGGTAAGGCGAAGAGGGGCAGGTAAAGGGTATTGTTTTCAACGGCCTGATCCGAACAAAAGCAAGGAGAAACAGCTATTTGAAAGCATCACTAGGAAGGGCTTCTTGGGCTGGCTATATGATATGCCTGAGAAGTATAAAGGTATAAGGGGCTCACTCCCTCAATATGTTGAGATGCTTTCAGAGTATGAAGATGTCACGGGTTAGTGAATATGAGTTGGTATGACTTTGGTCCGGAAGATTCTGTATCTATATTATACACGTATGTGATCAAGTTCCGGATTCTTTAGCTCATACAGTGTTACTTGTGTAGTGTATACTTTCGTATCTCATCACGAATACCAGCTCGTCAGTCACTTATTCTTAGGACAGTCTAGAGATGAATCAGCACTATTATCACGAGGGTCATAATGGTCGGGACAAAGAACATGCACCATTTCGGCCGCATATATGCATGCATACTAATTTCTCTTTGTCGCGCATAGCAGAACAAGAAACAAATAGAACAAGCTAACCTTATAAGAAATATGATAGGCATTTGGTGATCATAGCCTGCTTCTGTCAGCATCATGCTTGGTAAGATATTATGAGCGATTGCGTCCGTAAGGGGAGGATGTTTATAACGCTCTAGCTTAACTTGATCTCTCGACCAGGTCAGATTGTCGCTACGCTCAATAGCCAATATGTTGACAGCAATCTTCTTGCTCTCATCACTCGCTCTAGCTACGAGGAAACTCATTGACGGGCTAGATGATACAGACTGCCAGCTGAGGTGCCCTAAGAGCGCCGATCGGCAGCAGGTCATTCTTCCTGCGATCACCCAAGTCCAGCATAAAACAGGCGAGTGGGAGAACATACTCGAGTGCTGGTCTGTGAAGACAACGACGCCCTACATGCCAGGCGTAGACAACGCGTTCCGGATAAACTGGGAGAGTGGCTTCGACGCGCTCTACCAGTACATCTTCTACGATACCTCTTTCATGCCGCCGCATTCAACGCCCGAGCCGAGCTTGGCTATAATGAGCGCAGGAATCGGTACGTTACATGCTTCAATATCTCCCATACCACATCAATAGTTTCCGGCAAGAAGCGATCGACATTATAAGCATAATCCGGCCGAAGCTTACAGTGAATCTAGGCGATGTAAGGGTACCATCCGGTAGATGTCTGCGGGTTAAGCCCGGCGACATCTTCTTCAATGTTGGGATTCAGGGTCTTCAGACCGCTTGGTGGTCAGAGGACGCAGTTATCTCGGATCTGTACTTTAAAGGGGGCAAAATCCCAGAACATGAGGTGGTCCCGGAGCTCCCGAGCAGTGCTGAGCGCGTTCCCCCGAAGAGAGCGGAGTTGTAAGGATGTAGGTCGGTCATAGTTGGGGAGCCGGGAATCTCCGATTTAGAGACGAGAGTGAATACCGTCGAACCTACATGCATGTGTGAGACCTCTGTTGTTGGGGGCTTTTACTTCATTGCTGGGTCGATACACGTTACATTGCAGCTATTGGCGCCTAACCTCGGCAAGAAAGGGCCAGAAAAGCAGACTGGGTTTGAGATATTTAGATATAGACTGACGCTAAAAATAAGAGCCAGATGCTAGGTCTTCGAAATCATATCATATTATAGCCTTTGAATCCTGTCCTTCACCTACAAGTAGCTGGTGATGGGAAGTTGGAAATAACTTTCGCCAGCGTAAATCGTCCAATCCTTGATAAGAGGTCGTTCAAATCATCCAAGAACCCCTGAGCACATCTGCGCGTTCGTGCAGTGCCTCATCTCTGCATGATATGTCAAAAGTACATCAATCCTTATAGTGGAAATTGTCGCACTTCGGTGGAGCTAAACTGAGGTCCAAAGATAGTGTATATATAATGGGCACACCGCCGAATTTGCATGTCGTGGAGACACCTAGCTGACTAGAGCATAGAATGCTACCTTCCATGACTTGATCCCCCAAGCGCCTATCAATGACTATTGGCCGACCGCAGTGCGAGAGAACATCCAATGGATTATGGAGGATCGTATCCAACTCTACCTCCTGACCCAAATCGACTCTATGATCTGATATCAAAGAACGGTCGAGGTCTAGATCAAAGAACAAAGTGGTCGCATGCGTGCGCAGGTCCTTTAGGACGCAGGACTCGGGTCCACGCCAGACTCTTTAACGACAGAGATAAAGAACCAAGCCACCACACCTTCTCCTATACTCTCAAGCTGTTCAATGCACAGCTATGAGCTCGTCGCAGGCCATCGCTGTCACCAGTGCCCAGGCCCATGAAATAGAGAAATATCATCTAAGTGAATTGATCTCTTCTAATTGGCATCATGCTGCCCCAGGTCCCCCTATATCTCGCAGCGCTGTCCAATTGGACACAGGCTCCCTCATCATGCCAGGACCTCCGGATCCCCGTGTCCGTCGAAAAGACAGCAGAAGGCGAGTTCGGCAGCGACGTCGTCTACAACGACGAAGTTCTGTTCGCGCTAGCAGGGCGCAAGATCCTTGTTTCGAATACCTATGAAATGTCGGGGAGATTCTGCGCGCCGGATGACGAACAGAGTCCACACGCGGATACACTCCAGCTCCTTGTCCACGGCGCCTCGTTCAATAAGAATATGTGGGAGTCGCAGCTCAAGCCTGAGAGATATAATTGGGTCCGACGAATGAACTTCGAAGGATATCCCACGCTCGCTGTGGATTTGATTGGGAGTGGAAATTCCTCGTTTCCGGATGGGCTGTACGAGGTCCAGTCGCAGATGTATGTTGAGACGATCCACGACTTGATCCAGAAGCTCCGGAGGGGCGAGGTAGACGGGCGCAAATGGGAGAAGATCGTGCTAGTTGGGTTCTCGATCGGCGGGATGCTGGCGAACGCGCTTGCGCAGCAGTACCCTGATGATGTCGACGCTCTTGTGTTACATGCTATCACGTGGGATACTTCTTGGATCTACCCGGCTTTCTTGTCGGGTCTGCAAGTGTCTGCTGCACAGGTCGATCCTGTGAAGTGGGGTCACATTCCTTTGATGTATCAGACGCAGTCGACTCCTGAGGGAAGACGGGTGGCGTGTTTTGCTGGGGCTTATGAGGAGGACGCCGTGGAATATGATTTGTAGGTTAAAGCCGCAACCCTAACCCGCCTTCTTGTTTCTACTCCGACGTGGTTCTGATAGATGCCAAAGCCATCAGCGTGATTTCGATACGTTAGGAGCCGCTATCACCTTCACCTATCTCTTAGGAGAGGCCCCCGAGTATACGCGTCCAGTCTTCCTTGGCATTGGAGAACGTGAGTATTATCGCTTCCTGTTGTATATATCGGAACATGTAGGTATGTGCTGACAATCCCGTGTAGAGGACTCGACATTCTGTGGCGGTCGGTTCTGTCGTGAACAGCCGTGGGCAGTGTATAGAAAGTTTGAGAATGCTGCAGCGATAGATGTGAAGGTGTATCCGGAGACAGGACATCTTATCCTGTACCACCATAGCGGGCTGGCTTTGATGGCGGATTCCCTGGCTTTTCTCGAAACGCATGGCTTTTAAGAGTGCGCGGAGCCCACTTCGCCTGACACGTCGTGTCACTTGAGATAAAAGAGGATTGATGGTGATCGGGGCAGGTAGCTATAGCACACTCCCTATGATGGCTGTTCTTCATGACATTGTGTATTCTACTATCATGACGCCTATGAGACAGAGGTCAAAGATATAACAAATAATCCAAATTGAACACAGCGAGCCATGTTTGCACTCCCGTGAATCTTGATTGGAGCATTTTCGTAAGCGATATATCACAACTTGGTCTGATTGAGGTGCTCGTCGACGAGGTAGACATGAAGTGGCTGCAGACTTTTGACATGTTGATTAATACAATAGCTATCTGATGCGGTTATCTAACCACATGTGTAAACAGGAGTTTCAGTGTGCCAATATGCATAAAGATTCTTGTTGCCTTTGCGATCAATCTTGCCTTGTCTCCGTCTTTCCACTTTCTGCACCCTTTCCTCGTGTCTCAGCTGGGTCGCTATTATTGCTCGCTGTTGAGATGTAGACAAGTGCATCAAGCTATTCCGATCATTTGCGCTCATGCTAGCCAATTGATGCGTCACCGTTGCCCTTTCTCGCTTTTCCCTCTTCGATAGTAGCCTCATGTCGGGTACACCCGACTCCTTGCTAGAGTCTTCTGGCGCCTCCTCGTCGGGTTCGGTCACTGAGTATTCTAGCTGTGATGTCGTGGTCCGCGGTCGACGACGATGGTAAGATGGCGAATACCCTGTCTGTGATGGTGATGAATGCTTGGATATTATTTTACCTGACGGTAGCCGGATCGAGTCTTCATCAGCCAACGCGGGCTTTCCATTCAGGTGTGTCGCCGTCTTGCTCTCATGTCTCCTCTCGACCTCTTCGCCTTCCAGGTCGCTCTCTGAATAGTCTTCATCGTTGTCTCTAATGTCTTCGAGTTCCGAGAAGTCGTAGAACTCGGCAAACTCAGAGTCTGGTGCAGCTATGTCGAACCTGCAATGGCCCTTACCGGTCATGTGTTGCTGCACAGCTTGGACGGTGGCCCTTTCTGTGCCGCACTGTATGCATTCCCGGTATCCGAATATGACAAGATGTAAATACTTGAAGAGCGCCTCGAGGTCGACCACAAGGTGGTCCTGATGAGGCACGAAGAGCCCATGTGATTTCTGCATGTGTATGACACTGTCGGGGAAGGTTGGTGAGAGGGTAGGGCAGAATAGGCACTGCCCGGGCTGAAAGGGTTTCATGATCGGGGACTCGTCGAGGAATGTAAGTGAAGTATTGGTATCGTGGCTTGGTAGATGATTCATTGAAGTTGTTGTAGCAGTAGTAGTTGTTGTTGTTGTCGTCACCACCACCATGGATTAAGTTGTAAGTTGGTCTTGGAGCGAAGGTAGATTAGGGATTAGGGTATTAGGCGCTGAGATGTTGTTGTTTTCTGTGGCTTGATTGATGATGAGTAGGCTTGATAGATTAGAACTGATCTCAATCGAGCTTATATATTCAGTCTATGTCTGCCTACCTACGTCGGAAAGGATCCCGATACAGCTTCATTTCTCACCTTCTCGGCCGGGCGAGATGCAAAGCTGGCGGTGCAAAAGCATCCATTCCCGCCTCGAGCCGGCGCACTAAGCAAGTGCTAGGCTCACTAGGCACGGCCCAGCGACGCACCCGTCCACTAAACAAGGCCTGTAAGAGAGCTGGGCAGCGCTACTGCAGCGGCTGCTCCACTGCATCGCCACTGAACAGCCCTGAATCTACCAATCAGACACTGGCAGAAGCTCTGACGAGGTATGAATCATAATGAATGAAGAATGAAACCCTTTCATCCCATCCATCATCCCATCCTCCATCCTCCAACAATTCGGTACAGACGATACCATCTTATTCGCTATGCTAATGCTACCCATTGATCCAATTACCTTGGCACGTATATGTAGATGCCCTGGGTTGAGACCAGGTACAAGCAGCAGAAGAAGTATGGGATGAGTCTGTGCGACATGAGGGCATCGCCATCACACCATCTCCATCGATTCAAGACACACGCATAAAATGCCTCAGTCTGAAAGGATACAGAACAATGAAGCCACATATCCGACGTAGCCAACTATCGTCTGGTGATTTTATTTGATTAAAGCATATTTAGCTAATACATCGAGTCGGCCTTGAGTGGCTTGACAGCAGTGACAGCCTGGTCTGTATCCCAACCCCTTCACCAAGCCTCTCATAACATGTCGGCTCCTGACGGGGAAATCTGGCTGTCGCATTCGTTCAGTTTATGATCTGGATTGCCGTGGATGCACGGCCGCTGCACCCTAGAAACTAACACAACCAGTTCCCAAGCACGATCTGGAGAGCCCACTGGGAGCAATTCACCGTCGCAAGTTGCTCCGTGCCAATACTCTCCGCTGAAATGTCGTCTCACAAATGAAACCCATCATCTGATGATCTTCGTGCTAGAGGATTGCTCCGAACCAGGTGCCTGGGGATCATCCTTATACCAGAGCTGCCTCTCCCCAATATCCCCTGCGGTAGACATCTCCAGCCCTGACGACCCTTCCGATGAGAGAGTTATACCACCCTCTTCGAGGAGCCTGCTCCCGTCATCATCCCTTTTGCGTTTCTCACGATCCTTTCTTTTCCTCTTCTTCCAAAACCAGAATCGCTTTGCATCTTCACTCGGCCAGCTCTTATCATCATCATCATCGTCGTCGTCATCACCCTTCTTGAGCTTCTCAGGGCCCTTCCGTTTCTTCCAAATCCACAGTCGCGCGCCAGGAAACCACCACTGGCCGATGGCGACCAAGATAGCAACAATAGGTATACTAATTCCAACTCCCAAGGCAATTCTATCAGAGACATCGGACCCTTCAATAATACCATTGCCGCCACTGGCTCGAATCACGTAATCCGAATTTCCGGCAAAGTGAATATTAGAGAATCGGGGGAGATACACCCATCCATCTTCATCCTCGCAACACGATGCATTCTCACCTACGCAATACGGCGAGTTGTAGCCGTATCTGCATTGCCACACGAGGGCATAGAAACCTGAAGGTATCGTGTTAGGCCACTTGAATCCGTGGCTGCACGCCTCTGGCCAGTCTGGATGTGTACAGGCCTGGAAGGTGTATCCGTTGTACGCGTTGAAACCGAGACAAATACCGTTGCCCATGCACAGATCTATCTCGGAACAGCAGTTGCTAACCTCGGCATCGGGATCGCAGGGCATGTATTTGGGACGTCCGGGACTATGTCGCGCAGGCTCGCCGGTTATGTGATAACATGTCCGCGTCGTCGCAGCAAGGGCCGCGAAGGCTTGTGTGAGCAGGATGAGAGAAGACGACATTAGATGAAAGATGAAAAGGCAAGGGAATGCATGTTCACACGTATTCACGGAATTACTATGGACTATCGAGATTAGACCCACCCTGTTGTCGTGAAGTGGGTGGTTTCGTACCTTTTCCAACTTTATACAATTGACACTGGTGGTAACACTGGTGAGGCGTTCAGCCGGCACACCAACCATCCTGCGCTGCGACGCCAAGAGAGCCCTGTCCTGCCTGATGCGGTTCTCACTGCCACCGCCACAGACGAAGCTTAGCATGAGCTTGTTGCAAGCTTGATTGGCGATGCACGGTAGCGAGCAACCACGAGTATGTCGCCGTGCATATTACTGGGCCTTTCTTCGGCGCTCTGTTCGATGCTTGAAATTAAGGCGACTGGGCCGCGGCTTTGCAGGCAGCAGAGTCATATCTGCGCCGATAACGGGTGTTTCGCTCTTCGAACTCGTGCAGCTCGTCTACGTGATGATATCATGGCTATGTTGATAAGAAATCACTTGGATGAAGAGCCATTGAAGCCCCGAAAGACAGCACCTGAACACAATCCAGCTCTAGGTGTGCTTCTCTCGGACGACTAGCCCGGGAAGAAATGTCTTCATTCGGGCATATTTTATTGAACTGAACCTTCTGAATGAGAGGCTACGTAAGTGCATCCATGGAGAAAATCGTTAATTCTCTGTAGATAGTCATCACCACAGCGCGCGTGGTTGCGCAATATTCCGTCCTGTCTTGATCGCGGCAACCTCCGCGTTTCATGCCAAGGTCCTAGGATATGCGTGCGCGGTGCGATTAAGAGGGGTAGGAAGTTAACGCGTAGTCAGAAATAGAATTTGCGCCTATTGATCGCTCTCAACTGTAACTATGATCGCCTCCCGTTAAGTCCTCGATTGGGCAATGGCCAAGAGTCCCAATAGGTAGCTGAAAAGAGGTTCGATAGCGTTTATCTATCTATGGCTTTCTATGACATTGGGGGCCAAGAACTCTGTACAAGGATCTAAGCTAATTAGAACGGAGTATTTACATACTTAGTAGCCCGTTTACAAGGAAAACTTGCGGATAACGATTGATTGGATTTGGGTGTGGAAATAAATGGCTGCCAAAGGGATACGCCACGCAGCTCAGCTGGGCTCGGATCAGATAGGCCTTATTTTAGAAACAGTCTAAAGTAATCTAGAACTTTGTGCGTGCGGGAAGATTGTCTCGCAACCAGAACTCAAAACGTCTTCTAATCAGATGAAGCGATGAGCGTGGCAAGTCTGATGTAAAGCTGGGCAATTTTCCGGGTTCTAGGCATATTTCTATGAGGAACGCTGTGTGAGGGGCCTTCTGAAGTCATATTGTCAGGTGTGAATTTGCGTCTCGCACACGTTGGTTTGGTTTTCGACTGTCAGAAACAAGTGCTTACTTGGCAGATCGATGTCTCGGGCCAGTATGTCACCCAATTTCCGATAGACCTACGGTATAGGTTGATTAGCCGCGTAGAAGGAAAGGAACTTCTTGTCTTGTGCAACATTCAACGCGCTACTGCCACAGCTTTTCTCGCGCTGATTCTTTGATCTCCTCGAATCTTTTTTTTCTACTTTCAACCCTTTCTTGGCTCTCCTGTTTGTTGATAATTCCGATATACGAATTAATAGGTGTTGTTAGACGCAGAAACTTTTGTCACACTTATACATTCTTACGTATTACGTAATTACAGTTGGTAAGTTGACTTCAATTAACTATTGGGATGTTCTCGGCAGATCGCTCGATGCTCATTCTGGATCTCTATCAAATCGCAATATGAGGCCAGTTCACAAGGATCTATCACACTGATGACCTTCAGAATAATATTCGCCTTTCTCTCCCCCAACTTCTTTCGTTCTATTCTATACCGGCAAGCCCCTTCTTTGGCAACAAGGCGCATACTCTCGACGATTTACATGATAATACCGCTAGGATGACAACCGCCCGAACAAATCTTGGTCCCCTTACAACACCATTCTCCTATCCCGCTCACTGTACCGTCGCAGTCAAGCAGTGCGAGAGCTGCGATGTCTTCTGGCAGGCGCAGACTTGCAGCGATAATAGTAATAACGCCCAGGGCGTTCAGGACGACCCGCAGTGCTGGCCCGAACGGCAGAATTTAGACCTCTCCACGGGTGTTGCTCTAAACGGTTGGGGCTTTTATTCGCCTGGCATCTCATGTCCTATCGGATACGAAACCTCCTGTGTTGCGACGGGGACCGTGAATGGCGGTTTTCCATTTCAGTTCTCGGTATTACCCAGGGAGACCGCGGTAGGATGTTGCCCGAGGTGAGTACATCATCCGCCTCAGCCATACTGCTCGATGAGACTGACACATGTGCCTTGATTAGCGGATTTCAATGCAAACATAATCCAGGTGTCGATGGTGCCCAGACTTGTTACAGCATCGCCACTACTGGATCGTTTCCGGTTGTCAGCTGTTCCTCAGGGAAAAGCAACGACTTCGCCGATTACGTCGTGCCAGCGACGGTCACTGAAACTGTAGGAAGCGCAAGCACGTCACTCGCGGTAGCATTGATAAATACCGTGACAATCTATGCACCGCTGTTTCAGCTTAATTTTCAGAGCACGGATTTGCCGTCCGTCAACCCTGACCGGACTGCAGCTTCAACACTGTCCAGTACCCATACGATACCAGGGGACTCCAGCTCTCCAACTTCATCAGCAGCGGGAGGTCTTTCGACTGGTGCGAAGGCCGGGATTGGGGTTGGAGCTGCTGTTGGGGCTATCGGAAGCATTGCTCTTTTGACAGCAATCTTCCTCTATTACAGAAAAAGGGCCCGCAAGAGTCCTAGTGAACTTATGGTAACGGAACAGAGCCCGTCAAATTTGAAGCAACCGATCTATCATCCGCAGACGTATTCACAGCCGGCTCAACCGGTAGAACTTTCGTCTCAATCATATTATAGCCAACTATCATAATGCAAGGAGATTCGGTCAGTACAGCAATCATTACAAGTCAATGCCTAGTCCACATGCCAAATAATCTTGAGAAGCAAAGTAGAAGATAGAGCCTCATATCAATCAACTATCTGATGTCTAGATTATGATATCTGACAATTGGAGCACATACAAGTGATGTTGCCCTTTTTCTTCGACATAATCCTAAACGTTTTTTTATAAGACCGGACCCCGAGAGCCCCTAGCAAACTAATTTCTATCGCCCATCTTCGTAAAACCCTAGATACTTGAACAAGAGCCATCCGCGGAGTTCTCAAACCATGAATCCCATTCCTCAGCCCTTGCTCGTGAACGTGTCCGCAGACCACCCAAACGCGTTGCTCATCCTTTGCCCTATCTCCCGCATCTCGATAAGGCTTAACGTAGTCCTTCTACCATGCGGTTGATGCGCCGTGATCACCTCGCCCCGCGATTGCACTGGGAATATCTCACTACCACTTGCTACGCGGAATCGGTAGCAGCTTCCATCATTTGGCGACCCGCTGAATCCTATATGTCTCATTGCCCGGAGAAATTCTTTCCATTCTATTTCAGCGACTCGTGGGACACCCGGACGATAGAAGAGGGCGTTGATTACGTGCATCTCTCGTGCGGGTAGAGAAAGGGTTGGTGGAGGTCGGGCGCGAGGTCTCATATAGCTGTAGTATAATCCCTCCTCTCTCCTTGGCGATATGTCGCTGTTACTATTGAACGAGTGACGGCTGTTGTTGTTCTCGTCGAGGGTTGAAGACAGGCTGCTAGCGCTATGATTGGCGCGATTCGATCGTGCCATGCGGCGTTCAAAGACCCGTCGAGTTCGACTTCTTGCACGATTGCTTGGAGATCTTCCTCCTCTCCCACCGTACCATGTACAGTGGACGGGTCTGTTGTAGGACCCCCTTGGCATCCTGTTGAATCTCATGGATCGAGATAGAGAGCTAGATGGTCGTCTTGGAGTGCCACCCGTAGGAGTGGATTCAGGGTAATACCCACTACTGGGCCGCTGCTGATGCACGGCATCTTGCTCATGATCGTCTCTTGTGGCATCATCGCAGGATAAAAGGCGTCTGAAAGGTAGACAGTCGAGGAATCCCAAAAGAAAAGCCATGGCTAGGTCAGCTTCTGATAAATTGAGATACTGATATCGTTAAGATTGGATATTCTGTGTGGTGGCTTCAGTTGCAAATTGGCTAGAGCTAGCTAGATGTACCTGGTGATTAATAGAGGCTATTCTGTATGTACCCTTGCTATCGTCGGCCGTCGCGCATTTTATAAGTTGGAAATAGTATGGCCCGGTTACATGAGTTGTTCAGGGGCAGATTGAGTGTGGGAGAACTTCTTTGATGATGTTTACAGTTCATATTAAGGGTTCAACTTCCTACACGGGCGCATCATACCCCTTTCTTGTTGTGATAATAGAATTCTCGCAAGGTAAGACCTGCTGTATGAGCTTGCGTCTTAAAGTGTCTCAGGCCTAGGCCAGCGTCCCTTGGTGACCCTAGGCATGTATTTTCTTACCTCGTGGCGGATGTCTGTGAGTAGATCTGCTGGCCGGTGTCAACAAAGAGGTTAGGTTCAATATGAAACAAGTAGCTATTGTATTTAGTCACCCCTACGAAGTTTTTATAAGTGGCATCAATGGATTGGCTGATACACGATAAAAGACTGTGGTGAAACGAAACGAGGACAACACGTAAGAATCATGTATGAGGTCAAAGGGCCACTCGGTGTGTATACGGATTAAGAGACATGAAGGTAATACTATTCTTTTAAGCTTCAAATTTCTAAACTGTCCTTAGTTGCGTCAGACACTTCTCATTGAGGGAAATAGAATAGTACCTATGTTACCACTTTCCGGTTAGGTACGTGTCTCCTTAGACTGTATTAGGATCATAGAGTAAAAGGCATCGTTAAAATCGTAATAGTCATGAAACCACATCGTGCTCCTTAGTATAGCGATTAATTCAAACAAGTCAGTGGCCGCCAGCTCTCTAGGCCTCCATTTTACCCCATATTGTATGGCGTCGTCTTCCTCTCATTTCATCAGTTGCTGAGTACCGCTGTTGGAGGAAACCGTGTCCGGGCGGTATCCATCGGCCTCAAGGTCTACGACGCCAGCAGTACCGCGGCCTCCGCTACAAACATACTCTTTGCGTTCATCCCTAGGTTTCTCATCGCTCTCTTTGACGGTAGGCAACGCGTCGTCGGCACCTGGGTTGACTGTTTCATACTCGAGAGCCTTTACGGTTACGTAAAACCCGGATGCGAGAAGCGCTCCGATAATGGGACCGACGTGATAGATCCAATGGTAGCCGACAAACGACGCCGTGACAACGCTAGGACCCAATGAGCGCGCGGGATTGAGGCTGCCACCCGTGTAGTAGACACCCCTATAGTATGGGAGGCCCCGTTAGAGTGGACGATGAGAAATAGTTATAAGTGGATAGGTAGACTTGCATTAACTGCGCGATGAATAGAGAGAGGCCAATGCCGACAGGAGCGATGAATGTTGCCCGATGCTTCTCGGCCGCCAACATGAAGATGGTCAAGACGAGCTGAGTAGTAAGAAAGATCTCGATGAAAAGGCCCTATCGCAACTACGTCAGAATCTGTAGCTGTCGCGTGTGCAGCACGACTGACCTGAACAATAGACGTACCGCCGCCCAGTGTCGTTGAGACTTTGAGATCTCCCGGGAGGATACCTAAAACCACAGCAGAGGCAGCAATACCTCCGGCGAACTGACCAAGTATAATAAGCACCCCACGAAAGTACGGCACAGCACCAACGACCATCATTCCGATAGTGACGGCCGGATTGAACAGGCCGCCGCTGATGCGGAAGAATACCCAGGCATTGACAGCCAGGCTCATGCCAAAGCAAAGACTGATATATAGCAACTTGGCCGGGTCTGCGGCCAGATCCTCAGGCTGGCCCTCAGCGGGCGCCGAGTTGACAACGTTAGTGCCGCCGAAGGCGAACAAGAGGAACATGAAGGTGCCTGCGAACTCGCTCAGCACGGCCACGATGTGGTTCTTGACCTCGAGGGGCAGGCGGTTCAGCAGCCGCACACGGTGGTGCTCAATCGAGGCCGATATGCTAGGCTTTCGGCTGCCCAGCGTCAAGCGCCGCGCAAAGCTTGGGCGACGCGCTGGGGGATTCGGCTTCTCCCACTACGGCGCACTGGAGTCAGTGATACTCTTTCAAGCAAATGGAGGTAGCTTTAGAAAGTCTGTATGCCTTCAAGACATGCTAGTCACCACGAAAAGAATGTTTTGCCTCTACAAGTTGCTATAATAGGAAGAAGATGACTCCTAGGAATACATACGGGAAGCCGGACACTGGCGCCTATTTGGGCTTGTTCCATCTTGTTTCGTGAATGCGGTAAAGACTGTTTGAGGTGATGGCCTTGCGTTTTGGCAAGGCAAGAGATAGTCAGCGAAATATGGAATTGTGGATGATGGGACAAGTTTGCTTCGTCGTCTGAAGTGATCTGGCATGCAAGTCTGCGTTGACCGCAAATCTGGAGCCGACTATTTATAGTCCTTCAGATACCAAAAAGAACACGACCATTACTCTTTACACCCGCCAATTCCTCAGACCTATAACTTCTATGTTGGTCGGCCCCCACTAGCTTTCCTTCCTCTATGTGCGACCGTCAGCAGAAGGTCGACATCTGTATCCCATCCATGCTCTTAATTTCTATGCTACCATGCACCATGATGCTTGCTGGTGGTACACTTTCATGAGTTGCAGACGTAGTGTCGTTGATCCCATGTAGCAAGCTGTGTGAGAACTTTAAGGGAACACGTTTGTTGTGCTATGATGCACGACATACAACATCTGTTGATACCCAATGCCATTAAATACATTGAATAATTTCGAAGACAATGGTGTCACTCCTCTTTCTCGGTGGCAAGTCTCATCCCAAGGCTTGGGTCCTTTAGGTGCCAAGGACTTGGATAAGGCTATACCGCGTGTGTTTGCACTGGCGATACTACTCTATCTGCTTTTCTTGCCCAGTTTTGCCTGAGGGTGTGTTAACACATGCACCGGTGAGAGAAATTCGAGCATTGCCGAAGCATGACAGGTTGCACCGCAGGCAGTTGCTGACCACCAGCTTGCTGAGAGATGCTTGGTAATCGGGCCCGAGACAAGATAACGAGGAACCTGTACAAGTGCCCAACATTAAACAGTATGACATACCTATTGTACGGCTCGAACTGTGGCGCTATGCAATGGAAGGGGGGCACTTCCCGAGAAGAACCAATTGCAATTCCGATGTGGATGGCAACGGGAGTGGGCGTTTACTTGAGCGTTTACTACGTTATGTCTTCTTCCACAGCCTTACAGCTTAAAGAAACGTAACCATCACGGTTCAGAGGAGTGTTCAACGCCTCTGTTTATATCTTCAACCCATCTACCCTTGACCTTGCAAGTCCTCAGTTCCGATGGGCTACGTACGATTGGACGCTTCTTACACCGGTCATGGACGTCCAATTAAAATCGATATGAATTGAACTCTGTTGACTTTAACGTTAGGATTTTCTTCCTTTTAGGAGGGGTTGGGAGAGAATGGCTCTTCGGGTAAGGGTATGATGACGTAAAACGCATTGTAACAGATCCATGCTTATATTTGAGTATTTCCGAACCCTGTCCGAACCAGATGTGGCACAATAATCGCAGCTAGTCCTACTTGAGACGTCATTTTCAGTACCCCAGATTCGAAGAGACCCGCTACGGATAGCTTCCCGCGGCAACGCGTGGGGGACGATCATCTTCGAGGTGCATGAGTGGGTTTTATCTACCTACGGTAGCTCATTGCTAGGTTGATCCTTCATTCGTCCATTGTAAGCACATCGGCCTATTTTCCGAGACTAATGCCCACCCAAGGTCAGAAAGGAATCTGGTGGAAAGTAGTTTTGTGGCCCTATTAGATTATTATGTTGTTCTCAGCTCAATTCTAATTCCAGTTATCTTACCTCGTTATACGTAAATTATCCTACAAGCTTTTTTTGAATGCCCGTAGCTGCACTCCAGCTTCGAGGGAAAAAAAAATATTGTGTTCAGCATGGATGAATAATCTAGACTGGTATCGTTAAATTTATCCAAGCTCCGACACAGAGTGTTACGAACCACATGTGATGGTGCTCTAAACAACGTCTCATCAAGAAGCATAATTGTGATACCCTCAGCTATGCGCCTATCTTCGCTGAGAGAAGGGCTATATTGTTACTCCGGAGTCACAGGCATTCGCAATAGAATCCTGCCATTCAGCCAACAGCTTTTGAGACTCAAGAGATCGCGGATGTTTTTCCCCGAGTGTTCTTTTTCTCATATTGACAACATTTTTCAACAACTCCATTGCTTTCTCGATCTGCTCGTCCGCGACATACGCCCTGGCTAGGTGATATTGCGATATTAATCGGCTTAGGCTAGTTTCTGCTAGCACCGTTTCCTTAATTTTGACGACATATTGTAGGAGCTCAAGAGCTTTCTTAGTCTGACCATTCATGAGGTACACTCTCCCAAGCTCGTGTTGTGAGATAGTCGACCAGGATGAGTCCTTTCGAGCGCCTCCCGACTCTTAACAACATGCCCCAAAAGTTTAATGGCTATTTCGATTTGTCTATTCATAGAGTACGCCGTATACCCCTCAAGGGTCGCCGATGTCTTGGACACGACTAACCCTACAGCAGAGAGAGGCAGTTCTTCAAAGAAGCACGAAACCTCGAACCTCCAAGCCTCTGCATGAAGTCCTTCGCAAAGTGCTCTGACCATCTTCCAGGATCTAATTTGAATCGACTCAAGGAATTGGTCATTCGTATGCAAGACATCCAACAGGGATTTGTTGGTAGACTTGATGTAGCCCAAGGCAGAAGCTGGAATGTGCGCCCAGTCAGCCATCCAGGAAGCCCTGTGCGGTGTGCGCATGAAGGCCATCCCGACGGTACAATCGAATATGCCGCGGAGATGTGGCTTAGGAGCATTACGCGAATGAAGAAGAGCTTCTTTGCAGGCGATACCGCCTAAACTATGGGCGACGAAGATGAGGGGGCGATTGGAGGCATCGCATGTGTTACACGCGTACAAGCTGCACAAGCTGTACTAGCTGAACATACAGTTCGCCTTGCGCTTTGGCTGTACGAAAGGCCATTGCATGCTGTTCATGATCTTTTAGAAACTTCCCGGCAATATTGGAAAGTGAGGTTATACAGACTTCGCTCCTTAAACAGACCCTAGAGACCCAGGCGGTCTGGGCTGGCAGACCAGTTGTATATAGAGTCGAGTCAAGCCACCAACAGCCGAGAAGGAGTTGGTTGGTAAAGGACCCATGCAGCCCTAGTTGATCATTGTAATCTGAATAGCATCAAGTTCCAAGCCCAGTCATCTGCCCTTGTTATAACATGAAACCCGATTGGATGTCAAACCATGAAGGAGGTTTGAAGCATGATCTGTCAAATTGGTGGTTAATGCGGCCGAATTCCGAACGATATACGCATCGTAGCCATAAGCAAGTAGACAGGCTCTTGGAAACTCGGCAGAGAGGAGTGTCTTGGGCCAAGACGTTGGTTGGGGATGTGCCGTCCATACTCTGTTTCGGTCACCCGTCAGACCATGGACAAAACAAATATTAATTATTGCATCGGCACAATCTATCCACACTTGGACCAATCTGGAAAAGATGCATCCCTCCTATAGTGTTCAGCGAGTAGCTGTTTACGCTACGACAGGTCGGCGTCCTTCGGGGCTGTTGCAGATCTGTTGCTGACTCCTGGATTTGGGACTGCCCCAGATCGTCTTCTTCTATTTCGGAGAAGATGTTTAACTTGCCTCATTTGACAGCCCCGGTATGAGCAACTTGACGCAGTAGCACGGCAGGTTACGGACAATAAGTCGGGAAAGTCATTCTTACATCCATGCAGGGAATGAAGTCGGCAGATTGGGATTCGAACGGAGTAACGAGACCCTCGCTGCCCCCTTGCAAACCCATTTATACTTCATTCGCTAAAGACGAAGGTATGCCCATATCGAATCATTGAATTCAATAATTATAATTTTAACGATGAAAGTAGCCGCTTCGTATATTTGAACAGGAATAATTATGAACTAGAAGATATACTAGATTGGAACCTTGTCAATGCTCAACTTTAACGCAACTAAATAGACTGAAGGAAACCAATCAAGGTTTAGTTCGTAGGTCTAGTGGGACAGGTTTTCATTTCATAAAATCTTGATAATTTGCCTCGTCAAGTCCGGTCTTATCTCAGCAAGGATTATCTCATGTCTGGTTGCTGCACGTTTTAGAACAGCGGAAAACAACCGATGCGCCTCCAGTAACCTGATTCTTTTTACATACTTCTAAGCAGAAGGAAATATGTATGCTTCGAGGCTTGCCGAGAGTATTCATTACCTCGCCATTTCTTGAATAGTTGTAAAATAGCATATCTTTGTCCAGTATAGCCTCTATGCTTCTGTGGGTACTCGTCTGCGCTCTGCGTGACCTTGCGCAACTCAGCCCACAGGAGATGGATCGATGATGGTCGACGGGACAGGGCAATGAAATCCCCGGTGTCTATTTCTAAGAATGGAGCAAAAAGCGTGATACTTCCTCTATTTACTGCCCCAAAAGGATCAGAAGTGAGGTTGCGAATGGTGATATCTAGGACCTTGGCAAAACGGATGAAACGATCGAATTGACTGTTAGTTCCGAAAAATACCTGTGAACCGAGAACACTGACCCAACTCTACGATGGAGCCAGATCATTCACTAGTGCCCGTGCCATAGGCTTGGTCTCTCGCGATGTCCTGACTTGCGGCTCTAATATATGTTAGACTTGACGGAACACGTAACTTCGATGCAGTACAATAGAAACGAAGATTCGACAAATTGATAAAATGAGAAACCCAAAGCAGAGATTCTGCTTACCCAGCTAGGCCTTCTACGATATTCGATTCCCAGAGTCCAGCGATATATGTGTCACCCGTAGCTCGATAAAACTCACTAGCGAGTCCGGATAATGCAGGAAGAGCGTCTGTTGACTTAGAAATGGTGGCGGGAAATGTAGTGTTGGATGATCTGAATCCAGAAGTTAAAATGAGACAAGCCCATGGAAATCTATGGATGATCGAACGAGTCTTGAAGGGTGATCAGTTCCCAAGAGAAAAAGTTCCCGAGTGTACGTGGCACTTTCGCCTCAAGGGCAGCGTACGGTGCAGGCGCGGGGAAAAGTATGGCAAGGGGTATATTTGAAGCTTCGAAGCAATGTCAGGAATCGTCGTCGCCAGAACGGAATGGGTTGTTCACGGAGCTTTTGTATGTACTCCTTACTGCGATATATTTCTGCGATACGGATGTTACGGCCAGCTTCTGAGATGCTCCCCTTAGCACACTCAAAAAACAAGCTGTTGCTGACCGAACCACAAGGTTTGCGTCGCAAGGGTTTCTTGCAGAGTCTAGCCCCTGGTGTTCTGAATGCTTTGATGAAAATTCTCGTCCCATAGCTCGGGTCCAGAGCGGAGGAATACCTTTGCAGTAGCAGCTTCATCGTCAGCTCTCCAGTCAAGCTAGCACTGGGGCATTGTTGAATCGTGGCGCGCTCTTGTAGGATCCCTTCATGAGTATTGGAGGTACATGTAGCAGCTAGCGTGACAACCGCGCCCTGGTACACGGCACGCATTCTACCTGCCTCTTGTGCCCAATCCTGATCTGATTCCTAAAGCTCTGGTAATTATGGCAGCGTTGCGAAGTGTAACGGGAAATTGGTCCAGAGTTTGGCCGGCACGAAACGATTGTTCTGGTATAGACGTGAGTGTGAAAGCCGCCTCGGGGGGGGGGGGGGGGGGGGGCGGGGGGGGGGGGGGGCGCGGGGGGGGCGGGGGGGGGCGGGGGCGGCGGGGG